AGTTCAGCAGAGCAGAAACCACAGTGCTCTGACCCCAGCCCCACAGCTCAGGATTCCACAGCCACCCTCACCCTCTCTCTGAGCTCTGATGTGCCCTGGGATCTGTCTTGGAATCACAGAATCATTTAGGTTGGAAAAGGCCTTTAAGATCATCAAGACCAACTGTTCCCCCAGCACACCAAGGCCACCACTGGCCCATGTCCCCAAGTGCCACATCTGCATGGCTTTTAAATCCCTGCAGGGATGGAGACTCCAGCACTGTCCTGGGCAGCTCATCCCAATGCTCAACAACACCTTCCTTACATAATTTTTTCCTCATATCCTATCTAAATTTCCCTTAGTACAACTTGAGGCCACTCCCTTTCCTTTCCTTTCCTTTCCTTTCCTTCCCTTTCCTTTCCTTTCCTTTCCTTTCCTTCCCTTTCCTTTCCTTTCCTTTCCTTTCCTTCCCTTTCCTTTCCTTTCCTTTCCTTTCCTTCCCTTTCCTTTCCTTTCCTTTCCTTTCCTTCCCTTTCCTTTCCTTTCCTTTCCTTTCCTTCCCTTTCCTTTCCTTTCCTTTCCTTTCCTTCCCTTTCCTTTCCTTTCCTTTCCTTTCCTTCCCTTTCCTTTCCTTTCCTTTCCTTTCCTTCCCTTTCCTTTCCTTTCCTTTCCTTTCCCTTTCCCTTTCCCTTTCCCTTTCCCCTTTCCATTCCCCCTTCTCTTTTTTCTTTTCTTCCTGTCCCTTGCTACCCAGGAGCAGAGCCTGACCCCCACCAGGCCCCAGTCTCCTGTCAGGGACTTGTGGAGAAGGAGAAAATCCCTTCTTTGGGATTTGGTTTCTCTTTGATCCACTGAACTCCACTCTGGTGCTACACAGTTAAGGAGGAGGAAAACAAACAAACAAACAAACAAAAAAACACACACAAAAAAACCTTTAAAAAATAAAAAGTTCCTCTAGGTTCTTGCAGTGTTTTGTTCCTCCAGGCTTCTTTTCCTGGGGCTACATTCTCCTGAGGGATTGCACTGCTGAGGAAGGAGAGGTGCTAACAGGTTCTTCCCACACCTCTCAGCAAAATCCCAGCTAGCTGGCAGGAAGGCACTCTGTGTCACATCTTCCTCTGCACACGTAAGGAAGTGGCCTCTGCAGCCTCAGAAATATGCTCCAAATCTTTTCAGTGAAGTAGGAAACACAGCTAAGTTCTGTTCTGCTTCAAAATGTCACAAAATCACAGAAATATCAAGGGTGGAGAGACCTTCATGGCCATCCACTGAGCAAAAAGGAGTGGAAGGTGAGCATATTCTCAGCCATTTCTCCTGCAGGCTGCTTAACAGGAGAGTTTGGTAAGAAAGCAGTGAAAATACCATGTGAAGGAGTAGGTTTGAGAGCTGTCAGATATCAATATGATGGGGGGGGAAATGTTATCATTTTTCAAGGGGAATGGACAGCCCAGAAGCAAATTATCTTATCAAAGGAAAAAGGTGCAGTTATGCTTTCATCTTTTCATCAGTGCATTGATACTTTGATTTTATTCCCACAAATTGCATTTTTAAAAATTTTTAATTTTCTTTCCTATTAAAGAACTGTTATTTCTATTCCCACATCTTTGCCTGAGAACCTTGTAATTTCAAAACTATAATAATTCAAAGGGAGGGGATTTACATTTTCCATTTCAGGGGAGGCTCCTGCCTTCCTTAGCAGACACCTGTCTGTTCAAACCAAGACAGTAGTTTGTGGTCAAACATGGGCTTGGACAAGCTGGTATCAAAACTCAGCTTCTCTTAAATCTAGTTACAGAGTTATTCCTCACAAATCAAACATCCTGGAAGAGAAAGGTGCAGTGCCTCAAAGAAACTCTGGTCTCTAAAGCAGTCCCAGGTGTTCTCAGAGATTCATCCTTCATCTCTCCATAGTTCCTTCCTACTTTTATCCCTGAAGGTATTTAAAAGTGAAGATGTGACTCTTTTTAGTGGTGGGGTTGGCAGTGTTAACTTTATGGTCGGACTCAGTGATCTCAAGGGTCTTTTCACACCTAAATGATCCCAAATTCTCAGTGACAGAAAGGCATCACCACAGTTCTCCACACCTCATTTGGACTCCTGTGCCCTTGATTTGTGTCATCCATTCTCACCTCGAGTAACCAATGAGTTCCTTTCCTCTGAGCTAAATAGACAGAAACTCATTAAGATGAGTCTCAGCTGAGATTTGTTGCTCCCTCCCTGTGCTTCTTGCTTGGCAGTGATGGGAACAACAAGCATCCTTCGGGATATTTGACATCAAACCTAAAACCCACAATCTGCTTCCTGAAGGAATAACTGTCTTGAGTTCTCAGCTTCCCAGATGATACGTCAAGCATATTTCCTGCCTCCCAAAGCTGCCAAAGGATGCAGACAGACAGACTTATCTCCTTTAACACTGATATTCTGACATTAAAGAGAAGACTGTAAGCAAGTTTTATTACTTGGAAGGTGGATGAACAGATGTGGTGGCTGGAAAAGTGGCCAGAAACCCTGACTGGGGGCTGGTGCTGCCCTGGCAAAGCTCCTCAACACTTTAATTTCTCTCCAATGAATTTCACAAAGAGTTTTCTTAGGAGAAAAATCTCTCATGCAGTTTTTGGGCTCAGAAGTGCTCTCATCCATAGCTCAAGTTTCCTTCTGGACCCTCCATTCCAAACCCTTTATTAGCAACACAGTGCAGCACCTCGTATTTATTTTCCCACAAAACAAACAACTGACTAACCCTATCCACTCTGCTGCTTGCCATGGCACTCGAAATCACGTCTTTTACACTTCAGCAGCCTGTGAAACTTGACAATCAATCATCCCAAAGTGCCAACAGCCACATCCTATGACATATATGGATCTGTAGGAAGCATAGCTTGGAGCCTTTCTAATTTTAGCTTGTTTCAGGATACGAGAAGTTTCAAGCATCAATCATCCAAGGAAAATGCTTTACATACCAAAGTGTCACCAAAAAAAAACAACAAAAAAAAAAAAGAATAGCCTGCTGGTTTGTGTGTAACTGGGGTGCTCTGGAAGGATTTTGCATCCATGGGTTCCTGAAGCCTGGGAAATGCCAAGTACTCTGTGTTAACCAGCTGCAGTTGCCTTCTCCCAGCAAAACAGGAATATATAAATGCAGACAAGTGTTCCTCCAAGTGCATTTAAGCCAATAACTCACAAATTCATGCCACTGGTTTTCATTCAGCTGCAGTTTAGAAAAGATTGAATTCTTTGCACTAAATTACTGCAGAAAGAATTAAGCTTATGTAAGCAGAATTAACATTATGGCTAAAACCACCGAGCAGCAGCCGGCCCCAGTTTATCCTTGGAATACTCACAGCCCCCTTTTCTCCTGGCAGGAAGGATGGCCAGCACGTGCTGATCCCAAGGAATGCCCCAAATTTCTGTGCTGGCTGTAGGATCTTTGCTATCCCGTTTGCTGTTTCCCCCCAGCCACCAGCTGAAGACCAGGGCAGTGTGTCCCTCCCACGTGGGAGGCTCAGCATTCCTCACATTCCCTCCCAGCCTTCCCAGATTAGACCCTGTCCAGGAGATCACTGCTGTATTTCTGCCTCAACAAGAATGGGCAAAGTGTGGTGGGTTTTGTCTCAAACCCAAAGGCTGGAGCCCTGCCTGATGTCCTGAGTACTCTCAGGGGTTTTGTTCTGAGGGGAAAAGTGGAACTTGTGGTTCACCAGGCACAGGAAGGGAATGCATCAAGGCACAGCACACATTGGATTCACCACATTTCCAGAGTGATTAACAGTTCTGTGTTTACATTGTCCACCATGCTCCCAAAAGTCCTTCTGCTCCAAAGCTCTGCAGCAATGACTGGCGTCCTGGTTTGGCTGCTGGTGAAATGGGGAAAATATCCCCCAGGAAGAGGAATTACTGCAGGAACATAAGAAATGCTATAATTGGTGGCTCACCTAAGCTGGTATTCAGTCTTTGAAAGTGGAAGTTGGCAAAACTGTTTAGGAATAGCAATATTTAAATCCTTTTGCTGCCAGTCCCAGCATCTGTGATTCCTTGGATTCAGGATGGACACATCCCAGGCTCGAGTATCCATTTATGACCCTCTTGTTACTGACATTGCCCAGTCCCTACACATTGGCATTGACCTTGTGACAACGAATTCCAAAATTTCCTGACTCACTGCATAAAACATTATCTCTTTTCTCTTTCAAGCCAATCTATTAATTTCATTGTGTCTGCTAATTTTCATTATGGTGTTGCAGGATTTTCTGACTCACTGTTCTGCATTCATCTTTATGATTTTTTTGTAGCTTCTTTGGCTTCCTCTCCAAATTGAAAAGTCTTTCCAGCCTCCTCATGGAGCAGCTGTTTCATCCTCTCCAGCTGCTGATCTCTCTGTGTTTCTCACATCTCCAGGACTTTCCTGAGACCAGACTGCACAACCTGTTCAACACAGCCAGGTTTGTAGGGCTGCAAAGCCCTGCCAGTCTGCTGACAGTGCATTTCCCTGGGTCTTGGCCACTGCTGCACCTTGAGCTGATGATTTTGGAAGGACGTGGAGCTGCTGCAGAGAGCCCAGAGGAGGCTCCAGGATGAGCAGAGGGATGGAGCAGCTCTGCTGGCAGGAAAGGCTGGCACAGCTGGCATTGTTCACAGGAGAAGCTTTGGGCTGAGCTCAGGGTGGCCTTGCAGGGCCTGCAGGAGCCCCAGGAAAGCTGGAGAGAGACAATTTCCAGGGCAGGCAGGGACAGCACACAGGGAATGGATTCACGCTGACAGAAAGTAGGTTTAGATGGGATATTGAGAAGAAATTCTTTATTGTGAGAGGCCCTGGCAGAGGTTATTGAGAGAAGCTGTGGCTGCCCCATCCCTGGAACTGTCCAAGGCCAGGTTGGATGGAGCTCTGAGCAACCTCAGATTGTGGAAACTGGATTATCTTTAAGGTCCCTTCCAACAAAAAACAATTCCATGATTCTGTGATTCCATAGCTTTGTAGAGCCCACAGCCCTAAGGATGGAGAAAACATCTGCAGCACAGATAAATTAATGCTTTAGCAGACAAGAAAACACATTTATTTAAACTGCTGCACAATGGGAATCTCAATCATTTTCAAATGCCAGCTGAGGGAGAAGTGACTCACATGGCTTGTGTACAGGAAGCCTCTTTGCAGTTTTCAGTGCTGAATTTCTTTTCCTCTGAAGACATCAGGGGTGTGAGTGCTGCTGAGTGGCAGCAACGTGCTTGGCAGTGTTTGGACATGAAGAGACACGTGGTTCCTGCCCTGGAGAGCTCACAATCTAAATGTGACATGGACAAAACTACCCCAACACATAACAATTGACTGAAATACCATCTGTCAGACACGAGGTGCATTTTAACAAGCAAGTGGAATACCAAATATATATATAAAGGTTACAGGTGGGACAGAGTGGTGGCTGTGTTCTGGTTTTATGTTCATACAGGCACTAAAGGTAGTGGTGCTTTGCTTGAGAAAGGGATTTTCTTTTCTTTGGTGGGGTGGCTCCAGCTGGTGCTTCCTGAGCAAAAACAAAGAAAAATCAATTAGAACTCAGCACTTGTGTGATGTTACAGATCTGAACTCTGCACAATGCTGTGATGAATTAATTCCCATGCAACAGATGAACCCGGATTTGGGAGAGGCGGCATCTAAGAAGTGATGGATTTCCTGCCCTGTTGAGAAATCCCACCTGCACCTGGTTGGTGAAACCTTTGGCAGCTACCTCAGAGTCTGAGTCAGCTGGGAATCCAGCCCAGGACAGGCTGGATGGGCCTTGGAGCAGCCTGGGATAGTGGAAGGTGTCCCTGCCCATGGCAGAGGGGTTGGAACTGGGTCATCTTCCAGGTCCTTCCCAACCCAAACCATTCCATGAGTCTATGGATCCTAGAAAGAGCATTTTGTATCTGTGATCAGGAGGAAGTCCCATCACCCAAAGGGAAATCTGCTGGAAGTTCCAACTCTCTTCTAAGCTTGAGTTTCTCCCCAGAAAGTGATTTTCTCATCTGTATTCCAATGCAGGGGAGAATGGACAGAGGAAGGAGAAAACCTGAAAACCTGAAAATTAAAATTAGAAAGCACATGCTGGCAGAACTTGAGCAGTGCTGGTGTGCTCACACATCCACACAGGACAAACTCTGCCTTCCAGGTGCTTCCTCTTTTGTGGCTTTAAATTTGGCCTATTTTCAGTAGTTTTATACTGAGTCATATTTCCCATCAGGCTCCTCTCTCTTACCAGTATTTTAAGTTTTCAACTGAATTTGAGAGAGGAATTCATGTGAGGCATAGAGCTCCTAAAAGCTGCAGTGGAATCAGTAGCTGAGTAAGAGAGGAGAGGGAATAATTCTTATTCCATGTGAAAGACAAGCTACAACAGTTAAATCCTACTTTTGAGTCATCAGCTGGGTACTTTAGGCATGGACACTTCACCTGTCCACAACAATAATTACAAAAATTGCAATTTTATCTTACTGTAAGGGCATTTAGAAACTGTGCTTGATGCCTCAATATTTACCTGAAAACCTGTTCAAGAAATACTGTGTCATAGGGAACGGTACTAAGACTCTTCCTGCTCCTCCACCTCTTCCTTTTCTTCTCCCTCTCCCTGCTTTTCTTCTTCTTCTTCCTTTTTTTAATAGAAAATATTTGTAGTTATCATATAGGAATCTAAAGAAAAAAATAAACAGTCTTGAAATGCAAAGCTCTGCTTTTACACTTGTTCTATTTCTAGTAAATGCAGTATTCTTTGACATTCAAAACCAGAGTTAATATATAGAGTTTTTTATCTCAACATGGCAGGGCTTTATTTCATGGAGTTTATAGGCACATGCAGGACTATAAGAATCCTCTTCCTAGGAAGGTTAGAACACGTGGTTAATCTGCAAATAGGTGCTAAAAATCAAAATAAGAATATTAAATATATGTAAGTATGACAAAAAGTTTAGTATTTTTAATTATACACTTTCCTGAAGCAGTAAACAACTAAAGATTCATGGCACTAGACTCCTGAATTATCTAAAAATCACCTGGAATCAGATAACATAGCCTTGTTTCTATCTCTAAAGTTCTTATTTCTCTCTTTTATGCAGGAGAAATGACACAATTGAATGACAACAGCCCTTTGCTTCAATCAACAGTTATCTGAAAAAATTTGTGTCACACAGACAAGAATCTCTGCTTATTCTCTTTCTAGAATAAATTAAGCTCTGCTCTGAAAAACAGCTGGAAATTGCTTTGTGGGCTCCTCTGCTCCTCTTCCAGCCATCCCTTGTCCAAAGGCACTCCCATGTGTATGAATCAGCTTTATCTCAATCTGCAGCCCCTTCACAAACTGCTTGGACTGCAAAAGTGATTTTGTGAATTTCTTCCTGGCACAATCAAATAACCAATCAAAGAATCAATAATGAGCTTTCAGCCAGGACTGCAGGTTGTTCATGAGCAGCCCAGAGCTTTGTTTTCCCTCCCAGGCACCTCCTGTCTCTGCAGGAGTCACACCTGAGTTGCTGAAGTGAAATCCTGCTTAAATACCTGCTTGGGAATGGAGCTGTTTGAATCAGATTCCTGGTTTCAGGGAATGTTTTTCCAGGGAAAAACATTGAACTAAAGAATCACATTCTGAAAAACCAGAAATGTAACACAAACATCTGTGGATTAGAAGTTCTTATGCCAAAGGAGTATTGCCTCTCTGGGCATGGAAAGGTGCCTTTTTTATCTCATGCCAGGAGATCCCACTGACAAACCACATCTTTCAGACATTGCATTTTCCCCCAGGAAAGGTGCCTTTTTTATCTCATGAGAACTCTGACACAAGGCCAGGAGATCCCACTGACAAACCACATCTTTCAGACATTACCAACTTCCATCCAAAATTCAAGTAAAATAACTTTTAAAGGGAAAATTTGGTTCTTTGTCTTGCTTGAAGCATTAGTTGGTGGTGCCAGGGCAAAATTAGCCAGGCTTGGTGGCCCTCACCAGCCTCTCCAGGAACCTCTGCACTTTGCCCATGGCTCCAGGAGCTTTAGGGTCAGGAAAAAACATCCTGGGAGGAGCAGCTGAGGGAGCTGGGGAGGTTCAGGGTGGAGAAAAGGGGGCTCAGGGGGACCTCATTGCTCTGCACAGCTCCTGACAGGAGGGGCAGTGAGGGGGGTTTGGGTTCTGCTGCCAGTGAAAGGACAAAGGAAATGGCCTTAAATTGCATGGAAAGAGGTTCAGATTGGAGATTAGAAAATTTCCCTGGCAGAGTGGTCAGGCCTTGGGCTGAGCTGCCCAGGGAGGTTTGGAGTCACTGGAATTGGCCCAGAGGAGTCTGGATGTGGCCCTTGGGGACAGGGTTTGGGGTGATGCTGGTGGGGCTGGGGTGGCACTGGGTGATCCTGAAGGTTTGGGCAAAGCAGAAAAGTGTTTGAGGATTTGCACCTGGGTGTTAGAAATTCTCACAAGGGAAATATCTCCTTTATGGGCAGAACTGCCTAAATTGTCAGAACAAGTCTTTCACACTGAAAATGCAATCACAGCATGGTGTCAGTCAGTGATTATCAAAGATGGACTTGTCATGGGAGTCCTTGGCAAATTATATTGAAGGCTCTGTGACGGACAATTTCCATTCCATTTACAGCTTTTAATGATTAAAGGCCCATCTTTGTTCCCAGTCAATAACACCACAATAGGACCAATCATTATCTCTAGCAGAATATGACTGTGGTGTGTTTACTTTCATGAATAAGAATTTACCAGCTTGTGAGTGAAGCAAAAGGACTGAAAAGAAATTAAATACACACAAACAAAAGATGTTAATAAAATATCCAGGTGTACTATACCCCTGTTGCTGCATGTTCTTCCTCGCCTTCCTACAGATGAGATACAAAAAAAAATATTAAAAAGATAAAATAAAGAAAGAATAACAGAAATGAGACAGGGTAAACACAGCAGAAGTTAAACACTAAATTTAGGAAAATTATGTGGAATTCACTGGACTCATTTGGAGATACTGTCCTCCAAATTAACTCACAAAGCACATTCAAGCTTAACTTTTATGCTGGAAAATGGTATAAAATCATTAAATTGAGCTCCCTTTTCCTCAGTTACTTGCAATCAAAACTGCTTCATTGGCAAACAAAGATTTGAAGCTGGGTTTTGTTCCCTTGTCCAGGTGGAGTTTTTGCAGTTTTTTTTTTTTTGGTAATTAGCTGGTCTACAAAATGTAAGTATAATCAGAATTACAGAGAGTCTTATCTATGCTATATATCATCATTCAGAATTTGTCTTGTGATTCTGTTAAGTGTTGTAGGCTGCAACAGATGCCTTGGCTCAACAGGGAATAAAAAATAATACAAGCTGGTTTTAGACTGTAGATTGAGCAGAAGTGATAAAAGAGATTTTTTTTTTTAAGTGAATAGAATTTAATGGTGGATCCTAAGCTGGCTTTTGGGGGAAAGAGCTGATCCTACACAAACTCCCAAAGACAAGAGACAAATGTCACAGTGCCACACAGAAGGCAGAGGGGTTGATTTGAGTTCTCATGGAATGACTTAAGGGAGTGAATTGCAGTGCCAAGGTTTAAATATGGCCTGAGGAATTGCTGAGACAGGATACAGACTTGCATTATAATATGATTTTTCAACATGTTTCTAAAATAATTTTGCCCTGAAGGCAGCCTAATCTGTACTGAAAACTGATTTAACTGGGACACCACTTAAAAAATACTCGAACCTCCAAGCTTAAATCTGAATTCAAAATCAGACAGTGAAACACAGAAAATTTATTACCAGCACATGGAGTGACCAGCAGGGTCCATGTGAGCTGGAGCTCAGTCTTCTCCTCAGGAAACTCAAAACCAAAGGGACAGACAAAGCAGGAATGGGGCACTGCATCCATGCAGACAAAAACCTGGAGCTTCTGCATTTCTGCATCTCCCAGGAGCAGCAGCAGAAGGTGCAGAGAGCTGCAAGCTCCACACTGAACATCCCCTGCTCCTGAGCACGGGAGGAGCCTCCTGAAACCTGGAGCCTCCTGCAGCCCCAGGGCTGAGCCAGCCCCAGTTTGTTCTGGTTTCTGGCCTGGGCTCACTGGCAAAAGCTGAGGTAATTCCAGAATTTTCCACAGCGCTGACATTTCTCCTGCAAAGCCACTGGAGAAAAGCTGGCTTGGTTACACCCCACAATGGGAGTCATTTTGGGGGTGGTTTGAAGCAGTGCTAAATAAGGCCAAAATTTCAGTACTGAATTCCCACTGGCATATTAATTCAGCCATGGAACATAAAACTGCCATCTTTCAAATGTTTGTGTTGAAAATACCTCTATCCTTTAGGACTTAACATCCAGTGGAGATACTCTGATGGCAATCTGGCAGTCTTTGAGCTCTTCACTTTTATAAAACCCTGCTCAGGTAAGGAAATGATATTTTTACTTTCTTTTATAAGCAAAAAATGAGATACAGAGACAAAAGGTGGAATTCATCTCGCTGTAGCTGCCTCAGAGTTGCTCTTCTCATCTAACCCTGTCCTCTGTGTGCTGTCTGCAGTGAGTGAGAATAGCAGAATTCCTACAGAATGATTCATGCCATCCCAACAGAAGTGATAATTGGGATGAACTATAGCAAGGCAGGCAGATGCCACAGCACTGAAGTGATTTATCCTGGGTGACACGGGAAGTGGGTGGTGGAACAGGGCAAAAAGTGTTTTCTGTGCTCTCTCCTCTGTCTCTCCCCTCCCTGAAAAACTACAAAGAAATCTATTTGCCACTTTTAACTCCAATCCCTTCTGTGAGAAGTGGAGCAAGGTGCTGGTTGTATAGGAGTGGCGCTGCATGATGTCAGTGCAAAACCTCTCCTCCACAGCTGCCTGACACATTTGCAGACAAATTCCAGCATTCTGCCCTCATTTGAAAAGCATTAAAGCAGAATTCCAGCCAGAAGGGCAGGGAACCCAAGCCAGGCAGCAGTTTTGGCTCCTTTTATGAAACAATAAAAAAGGAGTTTGATGGCACTCACCTGCCAGCTGAAATTCATAGCAACATGGAAAGTGCTTGGATATAATTTTTCTTAAGGAAGAATTTAGTTCCCACTGAGGACTGTCCTTATCACTGTTATGAAATCATGAGTGGGACTTCCCAGTGGCTGAGATGTGCCTGAGGGTGTGTAAAAGGGGCTTTTCCAGCCCAACAGTGACCAGATCAATCACTATTAAAAAGGGCAGTGGGGAAAGGCCTACAGGGAGGTGTTTCCTCTGGAGAAATATTGCAGCTAGATGAAAAAACCCCAGACTCCATTTGTTCTGATCTTTGATGTGAGAAGTGATGCATTTGGGCTGGATATTCCCCAGGGACCATCTGATCTCCAAACACAGAATATCCTGACAAGCAGGCCTGACTCCCTGGGAAGAGTCAGCACCCAAATGAAGCCATCCTTAAAGGATGCAGCTCAAACCTGAGCTGCAGTTTGAGATCTGTACTACCAGAGCAGGAGCAGACAGGAAGGAAAACATTGGCTTCTCTTTCTGCACTGTCCAGGGGATTCTGCAAGGCCTGGAGAAGTCACTGTCAGACCTGCAGCAAACATTTACAGCCAGATTTATTAGCACTGCACTTGCTGGCCATTGAGAGCAGCAAATTTTTTTTTCACCCAGGCAGGACTCAGATGTCTAGTCCTAAATTACCCTCCATAACTAGACTCTGGTTCCCAATGACCATCAAAATAAAATAAAAAGCTTGGGGTAACAAGTGGCAAAAGGCAGCTGCTGATATTCAAGAATGAGAACAAAGTTCCCTGGAGTTTTATCCAGGTTTGATATCATCTTATATCAAAGAAAACACATCCAAGAGGCACTCTGCAATCAGTCACCCTGGGCACACCAGGAGGGCTTGTGGGTTTATGTCCCACGTGCTTAGCTCAGGTAAAACCCTCAGAGCACAAAGAGAAAGGAAAAATTACCTGTTGACCTTCTGGGGGTGTCTGGCCAGACTGAGCCTCTTCAGGAGCCCCTTCATCTCCCTTGTCTTCTGTGTGTGCCTCAGTTTCATTTGTTGCATCAGACTTTTCATCCTTGGAATCAGATTTATCTTCTGTGGCTTCTGATTTCTCCTCTGTGGCATCAGACTTCTCTGTGGCATCAGACTTCTCCTCTGTGGCATCAGACTTTTCAGGCTCCTGGCAGCAAAGGGGAAGTCATTGTAAGCTTCAGGGCACATAATCAACAACTCATTTCTATAAAATTCCTGAGTTTCTTGTTTTGGGAAAATGTTTTTCTGTTTTTGCTTCAGCTCTCAAATGAAAATACTCCCTTTTAGGGTGTATTTCTCCTGTAAAAAGAATGCTTGCTGGCATGCTGACCAGGTGGGATTTGTGTGGGGAAAACATGAATTCAAGCACTTCTCAGCATAGCAGATTCTCTAACCTTCCTCTGAAAGTTCAATAGAAACCAAAGTTCACCCTGATGGCACATTTGAGTTTCAGTAAAACAACCCCTTTTTCCACCAGCATAAATTCCAATTAAACATCATCCAAAAGCTCCAGGAAAACAGAAGCAATAAAGGATTTCACATTTAGTCTCTTAACTTTCTTGCTTAAAAACATCAGGAAATTCTTCCCACATCAGTCACTCAAGTCCATTTATTCCAGCACCATAACCAAGCAGCTCCTGGGAAGTTCTTTATTTGACAAATATCCTGGTGTCCTTTCAGCCAGGTGGCTCTGAAAGGTCACAGTGGCTCCCACACTGTGTCAGACAAAAGGAGGCTTCGAGTGGAACAGCAGAAATATGATGAAATGCAAGAGCATGAAGTGCAAAGTCACCTTATTTGGGACAAGCAGTTCTGGGTCAGACATTAGAAAGTGATTTTTCTATTGCACTTTAGGAGCTTGTCAGTTAATGACCACCAAGGAAGAAAAAGATAAGAAAAAGATGGATGTATTTAAATTAGCATGAGATAACTGAGCCATGAGGGTGATGGGACAATGAAAGAGGCAAAAAATGTAATCCTCAGATGCATGAGGTGAGGAAAAGCCTCCTCTGGATTGCTCTGTGCCGTCCCAGTCACTCAGGCTCAAGAAGGAGAAACTCAGACTGGAGCAGGTGCAGAGGGTCCAGGAACATCTGAGGGAGTGGAGAGCCTGTCCTACCAAAGGGGGACAAAAAAAAGCTTCATTGCTTTAATCTATTGAAAGTGATGCTGTGAGGGGATATGATGGCACTCCCAAAAATAGATCAGGGTAAACATCAGACAGGGATAGGACAAGGAGGAGTGCTGAGGGAGATGCAAAGTGAGTACAAATTGGCTGTGAAGAAAAATTCTAATCATCATCAGTGGGAGATTTTGAAAGTGATCTGTGGTAGAGAGAAAGAATCTTATTCATTAAAAGGAAATGTGACCCCCTCTGAGAGGTGTTACCTGGGATGGGTTCCCCTGGCACTCAGGGGAGCTCCTGTCCTGTGTCACCCTGAGTCCCACACGCTTTGGGAAGAGCAGCACATCCCTGGGAGGAGACAAACTCCTTCCCATCCCTGAGAGGGGACAAACTCCTCCCCATCCCTGTGACCAAACCCTTACAGCTCAGCCACCTGGTTACTTTGGGGTTTGCTGCTTTTCCATGATTTCATTTGTCTCCACAGTTAAACAGAAGCTCTCAGTCCTGTTCCCCTGTCCTTTAAACTTCAAAAGTCCTCCTCCAGTGTCCCCATGATGATATCTGTCACCGTCATATTTTCTGGAAAAATCCCTTTGCCCAGGATTTCTCTCCTGGGAAGCTGAGAAGCCTCAGAGAAAAAGGAAAACAATAATTATCTCATTGCTTCTCCTGCGTTTTGCTGCTTTGGAACGTGGTTTGGACATTGTTTACCAACAGGTGATTATTTCATTGGTTGCACGTGAGTTGTTTTTACTTATTGGCCAATTACAGCCAGCTGTGTCAGACTCTCTGAGGAGAGTCATGAGTTTTTCATTATTATCTTTCTAGCTTTCTGTAAGTATCCTTTCTGTATTGTTTAGTATAGTTTTAGTATAGCATTCTTTAATATAACATAATATCATAAAATAATAAATTAGCCCTCTAAGAACATGGAGTCAGATTCCTTCCTTTCCTTCCAACAAGAAGGGTCTCAGAAAATACCACAGAAAATACCTCAGCCAGTGCTCTTGTTCTGCAGAACAGGGCATGTCAGGCTGACTTTTATCCCCAGAGCTACTGGCTGAGTGCTGGCTTAGGGATCTTTGTCCCAGGGTGTGCTGTGGGACATAAGAGATGTCCTCCTGCTGGCAAGCTCTGCTGGATGGGGACAGAAATGATGGAAAGGAGCTCAGGAATGTTAGGAAGCAGATATCACAGCAGTTTGATGTTTTTGCTGAAACTTGACTGCCTGTAGGGCTTGGTGCTCTTTTGGCAATTTTCTCCTGAGTTGTGGAAAGTCAGTTTAACATCCAAGTTACTTGCAGTGAACAGAGAGTGGGCACAAAGGTCCCTAAGTTCTCCTTCCTCTGGAAGTGGAGCAGGAGCTGATCAAGATGAAAGCTTTGAAAAGCAAAACCTCACAGCACTTTCCCACTCTGTCACACAGCTGCACAAGTGTTTGTGCCAGCACGTGGGGGATGCTGGGGAGCGGGATGAGCAGCTGGGAGGGAGCAGAAGGAGCCAGAGGAAGGAGGAGGGAGAAAAGACAATTTCTTTTTCTGGCAATATCGTCTCATTTCAAGTGCACATAAAACTGTGGGCTCACTGCACTCTGATGCTGGTGGCATTGTTATTAAAACAGATCTACAGAGACATTTGTTCAGCTTGGTTTATTGTTTACTTTTCTCCCAGAAGCCAAAAAATATTTGAAGATTGAAATATGTAGTAACACAAACATACATTGAAATTCTCTTGTGCAACATTGTGTTAATACATTATTTTCTTAAGGAAATGCAACTTCTTACAGATACTTTCTTTGCTGAAGTTTCTTAAATGAAAAGGATAGTGTTAATGAAGCTTAAATTAACAGAATCACTGACCATGATTTGGGTTGGAAGGGACCAAAAGATGATCCTCAAGATCATCTCATTCCAACCTCCTTGCCATGGGCAGGGACACACTCCACTAGACCTGGTTGCTCAGAGCCCCATCCAACCTGGTCTTGAAATAGATTAAATATTTATTTTCAGCACAAATTTCATTAAAATCCATACACTCAGTATTTTTGGCTGGGTCATAAAATGCATAAGAACCACAGAGAGCATCCTAATTAAAATGACCCCTTTGTGTGAATCCATCTCAGATGAATCACATACTTAGATCACAAGGCACAAAAAAGAGTTGTATCTGAAAGAACTAAACTCTAGAAGCAGCATGTTATCAGCCAGAACACATACACACACACACGGAGTTCTTGTTAATTATATGGAGAACTCTGACATTCAGAATAGCATTGCCACACTGGCTCTCCATAGAAACACAGAATTTAATTTTCAACGAATTGAAAATGAAGTACCATTTCTAAAGATTGGCTGACAGGTCATTTTCTCTTTAAATAAAGTGCACATAGCACAAATTTGTAATTCAAAGCAGATTTAGAAGAAGCTTTCTTCTGCTAACTTAAGCTTGAGTATCTACAGATTTGGGGATATCAAGATTCTGGATATTAAGATCAAGAATAGTGGGATTAAGGCTTCAAGTATGCAATATTTGAAAACAGACCCTCAAATCACATAAATCACTGAGTTCACTGAGTCAGACTAAGCATAAAAATGGTGCCAGCTTTAAAAAAATGTACCCAACTTTTGAGGCAGCTGAGATTGACACACGTGACCCCAAACATACAAACTACACTGATTAAAGTTCAGATCTACACGTGAATCCTATTGGGACATCACTCAGGCCACTAATCCAAAATTAAACAGGATCTCTTGGAAATCTGTCACAAATTTGAGTGATCTTTGGGTCAACCACAGCTGCCCTTAAATCCCAGCCTGCCCTGAACTGTGTCTGGAACTAATCTAGACCAGGTGTTCCTCAGGTGAGGAGGTGTTTGGTATTAATAGATTAAAATACTTATTAACACAAGCTGCACTATGTCTGCTACTTCTCTCAGGCACAGAAAACTGTTCTGCTCAGCCCTGCTTAATGATGCTTTAGAAAACACAAAAACCATTGTGGTCAGAAGGAAACAGGAGAGAGGATGATGGGAGCTAACAAACCCTTGCTGAGGCACCACAAATATGGATTGGTTTCCTGTAAAGTCACTGCATTTTATGGGCACACTGCACCCTTTAAGGCAATAGATGTACTTGGTATGATAAAATCACACTATCAGAGAATTACTGAATTATTTGGGTCAAACAGGTATCAGCTTCATATTAATCTTTGTCATGTCTCAGCATAGTAGAAATCTCCAGAAAGAAAATGCATACTGCTTGTGGTGATTCCATGCTTTATAGTTTGCTTCTTCATTCCAGAAAAGAAAAAACCCAAAACCCACACATTTTTTAAAGAAGGGATTAATAGGAAACCTTGTCACATGTGTCACCATCACCATCTCTTCCACACCTGACTTATAATTCCAGATTTATGCTGCTGGAAATCAGTGTCACGAGCCATCCATTGTGCTTATCTAAGGTGGAGTTGGCAGAGAATGAGGGGGAAGCAGAAAGAGAAGCAGAGCAGGAGAATTCTTTGTTAGACAAAGCAGGCAGCCTCTCCTGCAGTGAAGATGCTGAGAAACACCTCTGCAAGAAGTGTGTATGTCTCTCACAAACAGGAATAGACTCTGAAAGGGAGACTATCAGAATTCCACATTTAACAGGGACTTTACAAACACTCTCACTTATTTGCAGTCTCTGGCCTGCAGCCACCACCAAGGCAGCAGTTAATCACTGTAAACAAGACATGCCTGCTACCAATGGCACTGACAAACAAATCTGCCCAGCAGAATGTACCAAACATATTATTTTCAACATTTCCAAGGTAGTCACAAAGTAGAAATGGTAATAGTCTCTGCTGACAGCTGGGAACGAATGAATTCTAAAAAATTGTCACTTTGCTTCACAGATATGGAATCTACCAGGACCTTGCATGAAGAAGCAGATAATCTGTGGAGTGGGAAGGTGGAAAAATGCAATTTCCTTTATCTCACTGATTCTCCACATATCTTTTATAATGACTATAATGTGTAATACCTGCAGTCCTTTAAGCCTTTCATGGCTTTGTGGATGTTAATTAAATGAATTCTCACAAGACCCTTGTGAGGTAGGCAAGTCATTTTTATTTCCCTGGGTGGGAGATGGCACAGCTAAAGCAGAAAGTTTAAATCACTCTCCTTATCATGCAGGGACTCAGTGGCAAAGACATTTATAACAACTGGGACATTTAAAACACACCCCTGAGTGTGTTGTCAGCTGTGGTTCTCAAAGCACTTAGAAAAGGCTCCTTTTTTTCCCCCTCTGCTTTTACAGAAGAGGATAAGGAAATATTTCCAGTGATGTTTCACTCAAAGCTGCTGCAGAGCTGGACCAAGGCAGATCTCCTGCTCCAAGGCACTTCCTCAGCCAGGTCACCACAATGCAGCAGAGTTCTCCTGTCGCTCTGGCTCATCACTCTCTTGATTAATTTCTTTTGTTGGCTCACCCACATTAAAGATGGCAATATTTTATGAGCTCAGGATAGCAGAGCTGTAACAGTCTCAGTTATAAAACTTCTAATTAGAAGAAGATTCTAATAAAGAAAAAACACATTGGTTTCTGTAAAAAACAACACCGGGGGGAAAAAATAAAATGTTTTTCTTTTGCCAGAAATACATTAGAACATTGTCAAAATGTGATGGAGAACCAGAGGCAGACTTGCCAAAGGGACTTGGTGAAGGGGCTGGGTGAGCCCTTTTCTCCTGCAGGCAGAAGGAGAGAGTTCCATGGTGCCAGTGAAGGATGGGATGGTTCTGATCCCAACCCCATGTTGGGGACCAGGATTGGCCCTGTCCAATGTGGTCAGGAGCAAGGGAAGGCTTCTTGTAACCAACACCACCTAGGAATTGTGTGAGGGAGTCTGCAACATTTAAAAGCTGAACATAATAAAACACTGCTTTGTGTCAACAACAACAACAAACCCATCAGCTGGAGCCATGGTAACGAGCCTGCAGTGAAAGAAGGCAAGAAAGAAGTATTTTCTACTATTTACTGAACCAGCCACTTTTTTTTCCCCTAAGAACACTTTGCTGCTCCAACATCTAACATATTGCTTGCCCTGCCTCTAATGTGACATGCTGAGTCACTGCTAATGTTCATTTTTTATCAAAATCAAATAAGTGATCCCCATGGAAGGGCATACCTTTGTGCCTGGAGGAGGAGCAAGGCCCAGGAACGAATAAATAATGTTTTCTTCCTTGGCAGAGAAAAAGGATTCAAAATCCTACGAAAGGAACAAACAAACAACAGAGAATTGGTATGAAAAATCAAACAAAAAGCACAGGAGGAAGAGACCAGCCCAAGCAAATCCCACATAGATGAGAATGGCCACGCATTTGTACAATTGTCTGCATTATCTGAGCCCCAGGAAGAAAACACAGATAAAGGGAGTTTCACACAGAGTGGCAAAATGAATAAATGAACAAATCTCTCCAGAGACTTACACTTTAATTATATCCCATCCACAGCAGAATCAGATGAAATTGTCTCATTTTAACGTGCCTCAGCTGTACACTCCAAGGCAAAGCTTCCCTTCAAATTCCCTTCAAATGTTAAAATAAAACTTGCTGTGAGTAAGGACACAAAATAGGCCCTCAAAACCCTGGAACTTCTTTATGGAAAATAAAAGGCAACAGTAAATATGATAGCTCGAGTGAAATGGTAACAAGGAAACTTCATTTTAGAGAAGGGCAGTCTGGTTAGAAAATGATGTTAGATTCAGACTGACTTAGGAAAGGGTTGTGCTGTTCTCTCTGATATCCATGTACCAGCCAAAATGTCTTGTGCCCTGGTGAAATGAAATTATAAACCAGTACATTAAATGCCTGTTTTCAGTGGAAATGGAGCTGAGAAGAGCAGGGATGCCTCCTATCCTGCCAGCTACAGCTTGCATGCCCTTTACTGCTTTCACCTCTACAGCACTCCTATCAATTAAGGAAGTTTTGCTATCACTGCTTTTGTCACTGGGAACTTCACAGCTCACATCTGACACAGGTAAAAAGCAACAAATATTGAAGTTCCAGAAGAATCTCTAGTCAGGAGTGACTGGCCCAGAATCACAGGCAGCTCTGAGACAGGAGACTGAACATGTCCTGCTGAGCCCTACACTGCTGCCTTGATCATGTTATCATCCTTCCTCTAATCCCAAATAACTCCAAGAATAGAAGCCTGTAAATAATAAGGTGCTGAATCATCCTTGAGACTTGTTTGTAAAGCTGGGTAAGGACCTGAGTTGTTTTATTGAGCTGTTTTAGTATTTCCAGAGTATAAATTATCAGAAAGGCTGGAGTGGATGGTTTTGAAGTCACCTCAATGCCAACAAGACTGGAATTGATGACATTTCAGTGCAGTTTGGAAGAGCTTTACAGGCAGGACAAATGACAGCCCATTTCTCTGATTTATCTGAGGGACAGATTGGCTTTCACACAGTCACACCCAGTGGGAACTGCTCCATCTGGGAGAAGCCCTGGAGCACATTTTGCTGCTGCTCCAGGCCACCCATTTCTCAGAACATCTTCTCATCCAAGCCAGGCAGTGTCTGCATCTGGATTAAGGATTGGGTCATGGATTTTTTTCAGCAAACAAGAAAATTAGGATTTTCTACAATTTGAAGGACTGGAATTTGACATGGCTGGAATTTAACACGGAATTTGATGCAAACACAGGAAACTTGTGCCCTCCTGCACACCACATAGTCAAAGCAGCCTGAGCCAACCATGGCATGACATGGCAAGAGCTGGGGAAGAAAGAGAAGAAAACAAGGAAAGGCAATGAAGTGGACTTGATACTTTATGTCTTTTTGAGGAAAAGTAGTGCATGGCAAATGTACTAAAATCTTCCAGAAACACAAAGCCTTGTAGATAACCAGACCTGAGGACACAAGTAAAATGTATGAATGACCAGACAAGTCCTTATCAGAAGTAGGTATAATCTTCTATGATATCAGGGGCTCCTTGGCAACAGGGAGTGTGCAATGACATCCCACAGTAAATGAAAGGTCACTTATTTCCTCACACTCAGGAGGAAGCTATCATGTATTAAATAAGAGATAAAGGAATGCCTACAGTGATCATGGAATCATTTTTTTATGGTTATTTACAGGCATGCTTTACTAATGGTGACTTGTTCACATCTCCATTTGCTGAATGACTAAAGATAACTGTTCCCAAGGCAGGCAGCAAGAAAAGTAAGCAGGAACAATTTATTTCAGGTAAGCAATAATATTTTATCTGTATGAAAAGACATAAATGGTCTTTAGTGCTGCAATTTGTCAAGTGGACATCAGCAGAAAATTCTTCCCCCAGTGCTGGTACAGAACCAGGTCAGAGCAAAGAGAGAGAGCGTGGAAACACCATCTTGGAGTCTTTTGGAATTCAGATGGCCAAAGCCCCAGGCAATATAAACTAACTTTAAAGCTACCCTGCTCTGAGTAGCAGGCTGGACTAAAAACCTCCAGAGGTCCCTATCTTTCCATGAATTTGACTTTAGCAGTTACATAAATGATAGAATCTTAAAATGGCCTGACTTGGAGCAGGACCATAAAGATCATCTCATTCCAGCCTGGGCAGGGACACCTTCCACTGTCCCAGGTTTCTCCAGGCCCCAACATCCAACCTGGCCTTGGACACTGCCAAGGATCCAGGGGTGGCCAAAACTTCTCTGGACAACCTGGGCCAGGGCCTCAGCACTCTCACAGGGAAGAATTTCTTCCTGATATCTAATCTAAACCTACTCTCTGGAGCCATCCCTGTGTTCTGTGCCTGCCTGCCCTGGAAATTGTCTCTCTCCAGCTTTCCTGGGGCTCCTGCAGGCCCTGCAAGGCCACCCTGAGCTCAGCCCAAAGCTTCTCCTGTGCAGGTGAACAATGCCAGCTGTGCCAGCCTTTCCTGCCAGCAGAGCTGCTCCATCCCTCTGCTCATCCTGGAGCCTCCTCTGGGCTCTCTGCAGCAGCTCCAGCTCCTCCCTGGGCTGGGACAGGCCTGGGGCAGCTCTCAGGTGGGCTCTCACCTGAGGGGACACAGGGGCACAATCCCCCCCTCACCTCTGCCCACACTGCTCTGGATGCAGCTCAGGACACAGTTGGTTTCTGGGCTGCAAATGCACATTTCAACATCAAATAAAAGCCTTACCAAATAATTCAGAGATGTTTTTTAAAGTACATACAAGGGCACTCTATTCTACGGATTTCAGTTTACAGAAGAAAGCAGAGATTTCAGCTTACAAAGAAAAACAGAAGTTTACATTTCCTTTCTTTTCTAGTTTTCTAAGGGTTTTTGTCACGCAAAAGAAAAGACAAGAGCAACAGAGTGCTCAATATATTTAGCAAGTGACACAGATGCAGACGTCTGTCTAGACATGAGCAAAGAAGCAGCTTAAGAAAAAGATCAAATAAGGACATAATTGCCAGCACTGATGGATTAGAATGGATTCTTGAAATTGGTGCTCTAGCCAGGCATACAAAATGAATCAATTTCTAATCTATTTCTTCAAGTGGCAATACCAAAGATCTTGGAGAAAAATAAGATCTGAGCTATTTTATCAGCTATTTTATAGTTTTAAGCTTCTGTAACCTCATGGAAATGCTGCTCCCAGGCAGTGTATCTTTATAAAAATCCATCTATAAGAATCCTCCACTTTACAGTACAAGCTGTGGAGTGGAGCAGCTCTTCATGGTCACCCAGAAAATGAAGATACAGAAAATGTATCAGCAGAAAAGCAGATGTGCAGAGAGACTGGCTTAGCTTTTTTATCCTGCCATTCTATTCTAGCACAAACAGAAGACTGCTCATCTGTCCCCAGAACCCCCTTTCCTTTCCACCACTCCAAAAATTTCACTCAGCTGCAGAAGAGGACACTGGACAATGTCCCAAAGGACCATTCCTCCAAGGCAGGAACCATTGCATCACTCTGATCCACTGGTTCTGACCCACCTTTAATGAGATAATGAGGTGATCTCCTGAAAACGAGATCTGAATTTTCTTTCCTGCATTTTCTTCTCATACAGCTCATCCCACCTCCAGTGCATGCAGAGCAGAACATATTTTACAAAATCCTAGATAATTCAGGTGGGGAGAAACCTCAGGAGACCACCTAGACCAACCTCCAGCTCAAAGCAGGGTCAATACTGAATTCAGACTAATAATTCACTTTTTGCCACAGCCCTTAAAAGAGTTGAAGGTTGTCATGTCTCTCTCCAAACCCCTTTCTCAGATTAAGGAAGGAAATATTTAATCTTGACTTTTTATCTCCCAAGGCTAGATCTCCCAGGTCATCATGATGTAATGTGTACAAACGTGCACATGTGTGAATGGGAACCAAACATTGATAAGAACAACTGATAAGGCCATTGATAAGAAGGGAAATGTGGGAAAAGAGTGATCCCAGAAAGAAGAATGGGGGGAAAATGAAATGTAACAGACTTGATCTTAAAATAAATTTTAAAAATTTAAAAAAATAAAAAAATTAAAAAATTTAAAAAGAGTACTAACTGTGAATGAAGAAAATAAAAAATAGCAGGAAGGAGAAAGGGAAAATGTCTTACAAAAAAAAATGACAGGTGTAAAAAGCTTGTTTAGCTCAGGAAAATGAAGATTAATAGAAGATACAATTCCCATTTACAAATATACTGGATTGGGGCTGTTGAAGCTAAAGGGTGATTTGGGCATAGCAGGAAATGGGTATGAACTGCCTGCATTTAGCCAGGCTACAAATTCAAAGGTTTTTAGGTGCCACAAGAGTGAGGCCCTTAAAAAGTGATGAGAGCAATATATTTTAAAAGGACTTTCATGAATTCAAGATACTGCACTGGAGTCACACAGACCCTTGCAATCCTCAGGGATGCTTTTAATAAAATGGCTGAGGCCAAAGGAGTGGGACACGGGGGAAGATGCATCAGATGAACATTAACCAGCCTAAAACAATTCTGGATTTCTGGGCTCTGCTGGCCCTGCACAGGCTGTGCAGGGAAGCAAATGCAAATCCCCAGGGTTTTATTGTAGAATGTGTCTCTTGGGAGGGTTTTGCAGCAGTCTGGCAGCGCCTGGCCGTGTTCTCAGCCCACATCACACTCCCTGTGCAGCTCCCTCGAGGCACCTTCCCCTGGGGAGCAGGGTAAGCCTCATGCACTGATATGAATCTCATTACCTTATTTATTTGGAAATAATGATGCCATAAATTAGGCTTTGTTATGCACCCACTGGGATCATTAGCTCTGAGCTTTGAGAGCTGGGTGCATTAGAATTCTGGAGACTTTTAGACTAATTGTAAATTTGATTCAGTTTTTAAATCAGTAGCTGCAACTTCTTTCCCCATGGAGGTGTTTTTGCAAAGGACTATTTCTTCACTTGAATTTATTTCAATATGTAGATTATTTGGCTTCCTGAAATAGCTTCAGACATGCAGTAGAGACTGTATATTTATCATTTACTGTCAAAACTGACCAGTTGCAACACTTTATAAGGCAATTATTCTTTAATTCCTTATATACTTCTCCAAGGAACATCAAAAATATTTATTGCAGCACTGGCTGCCACAAAACTCAGAGTAAGATATATCAAATTACACTTTTTATTGGTGCAGACTGGAGGCTGAAATGCACATGAACTCCAACACACCAACTTCTCTTTTAGGAATTCTATGAGGAAATGAGGAAACAGCTGCACTCCAATATTCATATTATGAACTTTTGCTTTGAGAGCACTGAAGTTAATTCTGAAAATTCAGTGGCATGAAAGTCCCTGCTGCCCCAGTACAACCTTTCAGGAGTTCACCCTGGATTTGTGCAGTAAGTCCAAACCAGGCTCACTGGGTGCCCTGTGTTCCAGAGCACTTTGCAGGTTCATTCCAGCCATCAGATCCCAGAACTTTCCAGACTGGCCATTTCCACCCAGACCGGGAGAAAATAAAAGGTCTCAGATTATCTCTTTTGATTCACAGTCCTAATATTCATGCTGGCACATTATTATCTTTCTCTGCTTTGAACAAACTGTCTCAAGAGAAAGAACCTGTTATAAGCACATATGAAAATATGAAAGCATCTGATGAATGCTACAGTTGCTGTTATGAAGGGTTGATATTTATTGAATAAGCAATATAATGCCAATAATTCAAACCACATCCTGGAATTATTCCAGTAAACAAACATTCTTATTTATTTGTATATTATAACGGAAGAAGAAGATTCCTATTCCCAGCCTCTGGTACCTTGAAACCCAGATAAGTCCAAACAAACAAAATATCAACACTCTCCATCAAAATTAACTGAAACTTCAAGAACTTTCTCCAGTCAATTTTCCCTCCATAAATAATCTTCTGTTTCATTGCTTTTCTGTGCTTAAAAAATGCTTTCTGAGAGTTGTTCTTTCACAGTGAATCTCAAATTGTTTTAAGGAGTTTGTTTGACGCTTCCTATTAATAGAAAAGAGTCCCTTTCTGTGAGAAAACACTCTCTGAAACACTTAAATTTCCCAACAGCTTCTTACCCCACAGTACCGCTCCTCGTTGAAGATCTGTGGAGGGAGGGGAATTCCATTCTGAGGCTTTTTTTCACCCGGGACATTCTCTCTCATCCATTTCCTGTTGTCCTCATCTCCTGCTATGTCCATTTGCTGAAAGTCAATCTTGTTGGCCTCTAAAAAGCCCACGACTTCTTGCTGTTTCTTCTTTATCTGGGTAGGAAAAAGGGAAAACAACATTCCTTCTTTAAAGTGGAAATGGTTTTCTAAAAGCAACTGCTGTTACAAGAACTCAGGCAAGTTTGTCAAGTTTAGAGAATCTTTTAGGCTGGAAAAGGCTCCAAGATCATTGAGTCCACCCTTTGGCCAAGCCCCACCTTGTCCCCAGCCCAGAGCTCTGAGTGCCACCTCCAGGCCTTCCTTGGATACCTCAAGGGATGGGGACTCCAAACCTTCCTGGCAGCCTGTTCCAATCCTTTTTCCATGAAAAAATTCCTCCTGAAAGTTGGAAGTTCCTGAAGTGGGATTCACTTCTCCAGTAGCCCTCAAACTTTTTGAAGCTGAGATTCAACACTTTCTGTCAGCACCCAGAGTGCTGCCACTCCATCCCTCCCACCACACACCCACCCCCCAGCTTCTTTCTTTCCTCCTTGGATGCAGTGACAGCTCCAGCCAAGAAATGAGGCTCAGCAGGAAGCCTCCTACTGTGTTCCCAGATCTGGGAATGTGATGTACAGATACCTATGGTGATCCTGCCTGAAGTCAGCAAAGGTCAGAAAATGTACAAATTGTCCTCAGCATGTTACAGCCTCCTTCTTCCTCCCGGTCCCGAGTGACATTCAGCTTTCTGTGAGCCACGCTCCTCTTGTCTCTGCTCTTTAATGTTAGGCATAAATAAATTTCACAGTAGTTGGGATTGGAAGGGATCTTCCAGTCCAACCCCCAGCCAAGGCAGGATCAGCTGGAGCAGGTAACACAGGAAAGTGTCCAGGTGGGTTTGGAATGTCTCCAGAGATGGAGACTCCACATCCCTGGGCAGCTGCTCCAGGGCTCTGCCACCCTCAGTGTAAAAAAGTTTTTCCTCATGTGGAGGTGGAATTTCTTGTGTTTGAGTCTATGGCCATTGCTCTTTGAGGTATAATATATAAATATGAGTTAAGGCTCGAGAAAATCCAGCACAGCTGAGCTCCTGTGCTTAAATAAATCCCCCATTACAGAATGACATTCCAGTTGGACCATGAAGAACCTGTCACGTACAAATAAAGCTTGTAACAGACAGCTTCTGTGACACCTAAAATTCACTCCTGACCCTTTTATTCCCTATGATGCTGATTCTGTGCAGGCACTGAGCTTATAACCCATCCCTTTACTCTGAAAATGCAACACTCACTGTATTTCCCTAGTCAAGGAATGCTGCTCCTGAGCAGCTTTTAAAGAACTTGCCACCAGACACAGCTGGAATGAGGCATCAAGGTAATTTTTATATCTTGTGATTTGAAACCATGTCCTCCATAGGTCAGATGTCTGAACACCTGAAATTAAAGTGACACCAAGCTAGCTTAAATCAGAGGGACAGGCAGTGAGATGAGAACTAAGTCAGGGATTATGTATTTCCATAATCTAATAAAACAGAAGAGCTGAAGTAGAGTGACAGTCTATTATCCTGGAAAGATGAATTCTCATGAGTAGATAAAATTTCTTTTCCTTGTACAAAGAAGCATCTATCTACACATAGGCTTGCTTATAAAAAATAGCAAACATAAAATTCTGTACATTTTTGTCACAGCAGGAGAGGTTTGCAGTGAGCTAAAGAAAATGCATCACTTTGAATGAAAACACTAATCCAAAGTGGTCAAAAGCCATGTAGTTAACAGAGTTCAAAGCTGCTTATTTCTATTCTTATTTTCTCTTTTTAAAAAGAAATAATCTCATTTAGCTGCAGAGTCATTTGCAGAACACAGGCAGCAGAAAGGATTGCTCAAAGGACATTTCACTGGAGAAAGTGGCAGGATAACGTTTGTATAAATGGTTAATAAAGTCTGCAGGAGCCAGCAGCAGGAGTAACATCACATGCTCTGAGAGCCAGGCCACTCAAGTGCTGTCAGCTGCAATGCCAGGGCCAGCCTGTCCCTTTGGACACAGGCACTGCAGGAGATAGGGCTCCTGGAATAACTGCTGCTCCAGACAGACGGTGCCTCTGAGGAGGGCATGGAAATGGAGCCAGGGATTCTGTGCTCCTCTGTTTATGAAAGCTGTAACTTTTAAACCTTAATAATTTCTTTTAATAATTTCTCTTCAGTTTGAGGTTCATAATGCAAGGAGGCTCAAGCAGCACCAGGTCTGAAAGCAAAAAATTGTATGAAAAAATTAATGCTGAGGTAAAGCAGTGAAGTGTAATGGAATTATGCTGCTAAAGGAAAAGGCAAAGAGTTTCTGACTATGACAATGAGATAAACAGAGCAGAGGATGTGCTGTGTCTTAGGGGTCACCGTTACAGGGGTTTAGGCAGAGCAAAAGACTTGGGACACAACCAAGTGTGAAACCACAAAGCAAACCTTTGTTGTGGGTGGCACTAAGTGGGAAACCAAAAAAATGTCTCCAGGAAGTAGCACTCACAGAGAGAGATGTAGGGTGTAACAACACAGAGGACATGCAAAGCCTTTCCCAGGAAGGATGAGACTGCAGGAGCTTGTTTTACCCTCCCTTGCTGGTGGCATGGGAAGAATTCAAATTACTTGGGCATAGATTATTTGGAAAGTGGTGATGAGCAGGATATTATTTCAGCAATGCCAGTTTTTCTTTCAGCAAAGCTTGAGTTGTACCAACCCTAGCTACTAGTTCCTTAAAATTAAAAAAAAAAAAAGTTTCAAATAAATGGTATCTGGCTAGAGTGTAAGGATTGCCAGACTTTGCATCCCTGGAAGTGTTCAGGGCCAGGCTGGATGACAGAATCACAGAATGGTTTGGGCTGGAAGAGACCTTAAAGATCATCTCATTGGAACCCCCTGCATGGGCAGGGACACCTTCCACTGTCCCAGGGTGCTCCAAGCCCCATCCAACCTTCCACTTCCAGAGTTTTTCTCTTCCAGGGCTCCAGGGGCAGCCACAGATTCTCTGGGAAACCTGTGCCAGGGCCTGCCCACCCTCACAGGGAAGAATTTAATCTTAATATCTAATCTAACCCTTTATTCCTTCACTTTAAGGCCATTCCCTGTGTGCTGTCCCTGCACCCCCTGGAAATTGTCTCTCTCCAGCTTTCCTGGGGCTCCTGCAGGCCCTGCAAGGCCACCCTGAGCTCAGCCCAAAGCTTCTCCTGTGCAGGTGAACAATGCCAGCTGTGCCAGCCTTTCCTGCCAGCAGAGCTGCTCCATCCCTCTGCTCATCCTGGAGCCTCCTCTGGGCTCTCTGCAGCAGCTCCAGCTCCTCCTGGGCTGGGACAGGGCTGGGATAGCTCTGCCTCAGGTGGGCTCTCACCTGAGGGGGCACAGGGACAGAATCCCCTCCCTAACCCTGCTGGTTTTGCTGCTTTTGATGCTGATTTGAAGGGGGGAAAGTTCATAAAATGTCACCAAAACCACAGGAAATAGAAGTATTTTAGAGGTGTCATAACCATAAGCAGCAGGAAGCAAGATTGTAAGACTTCCTCTGTGAGACATGAATTCTCTTTCTCCCTCAATTTAGAATCTTGCAGGATATTACCAAATTCTAAACACCCCTGTGACTAGCAACAACATTATTTTTTTTTTTATTGTTTGCTCCAAGCCAAGCATTTAGTGCTTTTTAGTGCTATAAATAAGTGTCTCCACTTCTGCCTGCCTTAATGAATAGTTCAATATCAGCTAAGTCTGGAGCAGAAAGATAAAAAAGCTGGACATATTTAAAATAAATTTCTGAAGCATCAAGAGGAAAAATACAGACTGCAGATTTGCTCCAGAGCCACAGTGAATTATAACATTCCAGAATGTCACTGGGTTCACTGCATTCACTTGCACAAAGTATTTATTAACATGAAAACCACTTGCAGTGACTAGGGTGACCACGTAGTACATAAAATAGAGACTTTTTCATTCTTTGCCAATGATCCTCTGTTGATTTACACCAGAGGCTGGCCCCATCTTATACTGAATTAAAAACCAACACCATGCATTTGATGGGACCAGCCACCAAATTTGAAGAGTTCACTAGTGCAAAGAGGACAATTTAAACTTCCAATTTAAACTGTTTAGGGATTAAATTAATTCCTCTCAGGAAAAGCTGCACATGCTTGATACAAAATTTCTGTTTAATAGGATTTCAGTGATATTGAGGTGTGTGCTAACTCCCTGCATGAGTGAATTTTATTTTATATATACCAGAACTCATTAAAGAGTCATCCATGTTCATCAGAAAATGTGGAAAACTATTCCAGGTGTACTTGGCATTGCAATTCAGAATCAGTGATCTGAACCCATGCTGAGGTTGCAACAGATATACACACACCCAGCACACCAGAAAGGAGCAAATACAGAGGAATATTGCCCTGTGAAGATTCCATAATTTTCTTTTGAAGTCTCCAGATCAAAACAGGCCAAACTGGAGCAAGAGTACATGGCAATTTATAAAGCTACTTGAGCAGTGAACATTTTATTACAAATTGTGAGCTACCAAACCTGAAATTCCCAACTTCCTCTTCTTTTTTTTTTTTCCTCATGTATCTGAAGTTTTTTGGGGTTTTTTGAGTTTTTTGGTTTTTTTTTTTTGGCTTTTTTTTTTTTTTTAATGCTAAATATCAACAGTAATTTTAGAATGTAAGGCTTAGGAACAGGCTGGTAAGAGAACTCCAAACTTCCTCAGCATCATTCCAACTGGAACTTCAGTGAAGGACCTCGGTTCATTTCCTACAGATGATGGAGCCATAAGTGGGGGGTGTTTTTTGGACCTTTTCCACTCTGGAATCTTCTTAAAGAAATGCAGCTGGTGTCAGGGAGATAGAGATGTAGTTAGAGCTCTGTGTGAGCACCAGCCTGTTTGCTTAGCCGTGTCACTGGGAGGGAGGGAGTGCCAAAGAAAACTGCAACCTGAGCTCATCTGGGAACTGGATATAAAAGGAAACAGTCCTTTCCCGGTTCCCACCTCCCACGCACTTCCAACCACCCTACTATTCACATGCCCTTCCCTTCAGCTGATACTCTCTGCTGACAGCCACAGCAGTAGAACTCAATGCTAAAAATCATCAGTGTAGCATTTCAACAGACACACACACCAAAAAAAAAACCCAACAAAAAACCCCAACCAAACACCAACAAACAAAACCCCAAACAAACAAAAACACAAACAAACAAAACCAAAGAAAACCAAACCAAAAAGAAAACACCAAGTAAACAAAAAGCCTCCCAAAACCCAGAAAAAGGAAGGAGCTTTGGAAAGAAGTTTTTCTGCCTAACTTTCTCCAGCTCCAGGTTCTTTTTTAGACACAGTTCTCCCTTTGAAGGAGCAGTGTCCTAAAGTCTCTTTTAAAAACAAAAATTTTATTTTCTCCTGTAAAGAGTCCAGCATCACTTTTGCACAAATACAATACCCACTGTTTCCTTCTTCAGTTTATACATATTGCAAATAATTTCCCAAAGAGCAGTAAATCCATGAAATGACAGGTAATTTAGATGTAACTGCGATACAAGCTCACAGGCAAGCCAGCCTGCACGGGCAGGAATTCTCTACAACTTGAGCAACTTTCAAGAATAAGGTGGTCAGGTCAGAATAAAACTAAGGTTTGTTCCTGCTTAGAATTCCAGTGGGTTTTTCATCACATGCAAGCTCTTTTCTAGCATTTCCTAGGCTAATGCTCCACGCTGATCCCAGCGGTGAGAGGAGGATGTTAAAGGAGTCACCTACCGCTGTGGACCCCGAAGATGTGGCGACAAACACTTTGATCACCATGCTGGAAGTGAATCAGCAGAGCAGCCCTGCTACCCACGAGTCACCACGATCCCCGGAGGAATCCAAATGTTCCCCCTCCCCCCGGCGGTCCCGCAGCTTTGCCCTCTCTCCCTCTCTCCGGGGTCCCGGGTTTTCCCACTCCATTGGCTCTTGGGTATTTTGGGATGAGGATTGGTCAGTAAGAGGAGCCAGAGCAAGAGGTTTGCACCTGCCCCTGGCCTTATTGCGTTAGATTGACAGGGTGGCAGCCCAAAAAAGGCAAGGGAGAGTAGTGCACCAATGAGACAGGGCTGGAGAAATATTTGGGAGAGGGGGAAGGGACAACTGAGAAGGGAGAAGGGACGGGGAGCGGGCAGCTTCATGCTGGGGGCAATCCCAAAGCTGTCGGGTTGCCTGGGAAAGAGATTTCCCAGATCGCTACAAGGCTTTGGAGTTGTAGCTGGAAATTTGAGGGGAAGGGGAAAGCAAGGGGAGTAAAGATGCAGCAGTAATTATAGCAGAGATCACATTGAAATAAGCCATGGTTACAACCGTGCTCAGCTTTAAAGAATTCCGATCATCATCTACGCTGCAGGGCTCAGGGACTTTCCTGACACAAATGTGTGTCTGACACTGCCTGATACTGATTTGCCTGACCCGAATAGATCAGTGCATTTTCTCCTTTTTTGCGTCAAAGAAGGTGTAAGAAGAGGTCCAGAATACTCGGCAAAAAATATTCCCATTCTCCTATATTATCCAGGATGCTCTTTTTTTTTCCATCTGGTTGTCACCTTCTACCCCAGAAATCACCACAATTCAGTGCCTGCCTGCACGTACTTGCTGAGGGAGGTCTCTGGGCATGAGAGGTATTTGAAGAATGTTAAATGGTCACAGATTATTTTCAAATTTTAAGGGCCAAGTCTGTTTGTGCTGTGGGCAACATGAGCTTAGTAAAGCTGACCCTGTGCCAGAGGTGAAAGTGGACTAGGTTTTAGAAAAACATGTTTCACATGTTAAGATTGAATATAGTAATGTCTGATCCTGAAAACACTTAAAATTATTATAATACTTTATAATATAAATTATAATTTATATTACAAAGTAATTATAATACTTTAATACTTTATTTCCAGAATTTATTAGATAGGACTAAATACACTATTAGATAAAGAGTAAAAAATGCTGTTGAGTTTTTAAGAGTAAAAATTTTACTCTTGATAGTTATAAAGAGTAAAAATGCTGTTGAAAGGAAGTGTTTTGTCTCTGTTAACCAGTGGGAAATGTATGGAACTGGGATCCTGAAAAACTGCACTGAAAACTAAAAATAACAGTATGGGTAGTTTACTGTGGCTCACCATCTGTCATTTCTTTTTTACTTTTAAGGGGTAACAGGAGGTCCAGCAACAAGCCTATTAGAAGTAGGTATTTTCAGAGTATTTTCCTGAAAAAGAACAACAACCATGAAAAAAAGAAACAAGTGAGAAAACATTAATTATTGCCTGAAGTTATTACACATGCTTGTTTCCCAGGAGATTTTATATGTGAATATAGTCGGGGAAAAGACTGGCCATTTGGAATAGAATGTTTCCAAATAATTTGGTTTTCTGTGCCCTGAAGAAGTACAACATACTGATCAGCCTTGTGATAATGATGTTAATAATTTATCAGACAATCAGAGAATAAGCTGATTTGGAAGGGATCTGCAAGGATCTTCAAGTCCAACTGATGGCCCTGCACAGCACCATCCACAAGAGTCACAAAAGTCAAAGTCAGAGCAGTAAATATCTGCACCACCAAATATCCATGGTCAAATCTGGGACAGAATTGCCAATAAACCCTCACTCCTGTTTGGCTTTGTACCTGAAACACTCTTTGAGCCACACATGGAAATGTCACTTCCAAGGGCTTTGGGTCACAGCTCCCATTGTGTGCAGCCTCCATGGAAAATGTGACTTCATTCTGAAGGGATTTTTCCTCTTTTTCAAGTTAAGAATGTTGAGTTTAATGCCGATTTTGGAGCCTGCTGGGTCCGGCCTGTGCGCTCTGAGGGTGCGGCCAGGCCCTGAGGCACCTCCATGGCCAGGGCTCAGCAGAACCCACATCTCAAAATTCCCATTAAAACCCTGGAATGGTACTGAAATATGGGGGTGGAAATACACACACAGGCTCCACTGTCTGGGGTGAGGGAAGAGGGGGGGAACAGGGAGGAAAAGGGTGAGACCCCACTGCCAGGGTGCTGCTGCCATTTCCCACAGCAGCAGGGATGGAGGCCGGTGATGGCGGCTGCTGAGGCCGTGAGGGGACAGCACCCCTGCTCACACTGGGGTGGGAGCAGGGAGAGATTCCCAGGGAGGACACGGGACAAGGTGGGATCCTTCACCTGTGGGAGCCAGGGAGAACAGAGAAGGGTTAGGGGAGGACATGGGGCTGGGTGTGGGACTGTGTGTCCAGTGGGGACATTGAGGGAGTGCCAGGACATGGGGCTGGGTGTGGGGTTGTGGGACATTGAGGGAGCTGCCAGGACATGGAGCTGGTTTGGAGTTTTGGGACATGGAGGGGGTGCCAGGACATGGAGCTGGTTTGGAATTTTGGGACACGGAGGGGGTGCCAGGACATGGGGCTGGGTGTGGGATTTTGGGACATTGAGAGAGCTGCCAGGACATGGAGCTGGTTTGGAGTTTTGGGACATGGAGGGGGTGCCAGGACATAGAGCTTGGGATGGGTTTGTTGAACATTGAGGGGGTTCCAGGACATTGGGCCAGGTGTGGAATTTAGGGACACTGAAGGGACTGCCAGGACATGGGGCTGGGTGTGGGGTTGTGAGACGTGGAGGGAATGCCAAGACATAGGCCTGGGTGTGGGATTTTGGGACATTGAGGGGACTGCCAGGACATTGGGCTGGTTTGGGGTTTTGGGACATTGAGGGGACTGCCAGGACATGGGGCTGGGTGTGGGATTTTGGGACATTGAGGGAGCTGCCAGGACATGGAGCTTGGTGTGGAGCTGTGGGACATGGAGGGGACTGCCAGGACATGGGGCTGGTTTGGGGTTGTATGTCCAGGCGGGCACTGACAGGGTGCCAGGACATTTTCATCTTTGACACAGGAATTTGGTTGTAATCATTTTAATTCCTGTACTTTTTCAATATAAATTGTCCTGGAGTTTGTCCATTCCATCCCCTGACTTTTTAATTCTATTGCTATATCTTTCATTTCATATCTCTGTTTCTTCTGCTTCATCTTTGGCCTGTCTTCTTCTTCTTCTCTATTTTCTTTACTTCTCAACAGCTGCTTTGGATGAGCAGATTCAGGCCACACTTCTCATCAAAACAAATTAAAGCAGTAGTTTTAAGTTTCATTTTAGGAAATTTGCTTTAAAGACAATTTGCCTAGATAATGTTGGCAGTGCCAAATCAAATTTTAACAGAAATACAGGTCTGTGAATCAACCTGGGCTTTGCCTAATGCTCAAAATATGATTTCTCATCTCTTGTGGGTTATTGCACTGCCTCAGATTTAACAGGACTGTGGCATTCCTCCGAATTCCACAAGGAAAAACTGTCCATGTGAAGGAATTAAGAGTAATGAAACTGTTTTGATTCAACCTAAAATGTTCTATGCAATCCTGAATTACGTTTTTTAATTTTCTCTGGGAGCTATGTGATTCCCCTCTCCCATTTAAGAAATTTAATTGAAAATGGAATGCCAGCACAAAGCAAAAAAAAGCCAACAAAAGGAGTTAGAAGGTTTTAAGAAAATAGTTTCATATTTTGTTAGTGAAGGGGACATGTTAAAACCCATGTGAACTAAAACAACATTTTAACCCTCCTCAAATTTCCTTTCCAGTTGCCATGCTCCTTTTAGACCCCCAAAGGATACAATTATCCTTCTACTGTGTAAGATTCTTTGTTTATAAATGAATTTTAAGGGAGCAAAGATTAATTTTTCTGTGGCTGTGTGGTTGCTATGAGATGAATGTGACATTGCCACCCTAAAAACCCCCTATTAGCAAATATTTGCCTACTTTTCTAATTTTTTTTCTATTTATGCAAGAAATAAAAGTTGAATTATCACTTTGGGTCCTAGCACTTAACCTCTTTTGTGTTTTAATCTCATTTTCAGGTATGTTTAGAACCTAATTCCTTTCCACAATTGTGGCTCGAGGAAAAACTTGCCTCTCCTCATCTGAAGTGGATTGGAACATAATAAGAAAATTGAATGGGCATCAAGCCATAGCCCAAGAAATAGTTTTTACCAGAACTACAGTGCTTAAATAATTGTGCCAGGAGAATAAAGTGATGTGTTCTTGAACTTCCCAGTAGCCTCTGCAAAGAAAAAAAAATAGGGGGAAGAAAGGGGAAAAAAAAGCATAACAGTTATTCAGAAAAAAATCTAGAAAATTACTTACAATTATTTATTTTGTGCTAAATACATGCTTTTTACAAGCATATAAAAATAGTTCTGGGGTCTTCTCTATCCTCTGCTTAGAGTGTTAATCTGGCAGCTAAGGTGGTTTTTGTGCTGTTTTTAAGGGTTTAGTTAATTTTGTGATCTGATTTGCTGTCTAGTTCTTGAAAAATGTGATTATTGATATTTTTATGACATGAAATACTGTGAAATCCCAGGTAGGGTGGTGACCTCTTGGAGAAGACACAAGTGAACACTCTCCCAGTGATGATTCCAAGAGCTTTTTCAGTGACTGACCCTGAAAGAGTCAGAGGGAGCAAACCTTCAGAAACACCAGGAACTGAAGAGAGAGAAACACAGAAAAAGGACAAGACAAGAAAGGAAAGAAAGAAATATGGACAGTGTCTCTATGCCCAAGGTGACAAAAAAGGTAAATTTGTTTTCTGGTAGTATGAGATATTTCTAGTAGTAGTATGAGACTCCCTAAAGAAATATCATTGTTCCCTTTCTTTGGCTTTTTTTTTTTTTAATTATGAAGACAAGGACAACAGTTTTTCAGTGAAAGGAGAATTGGTAAAATAAATGTAGTATAATAATATATATTCCAATTATAGATTATAGATTATATATGTTATACATGTTATATTTTATATATACATATAATTTATGTATATATATGTAATTTTATATGTAATTCTCTGCTTCCCTACAATACTCAGTGATCCAAAGGGAGAATCCCCTGGGATGTGGGAGCCCTTGGCA